ATCTTCGATTAAACAAGCACTTAATAATTTTTTAAATTATAACTGAAAGTTGGGGAAAAGAAAATGAAAAATTTTAATATTTCTTAAAAAAAATATTGGATAAGTTATGTTTTAATATTTTTATTGATTTTAGTAATTATTTAGTTGATGTTGTTATACTTACGTTGTATGATTTCATGAAAAAGAAATTTGCAGTAAAGTTTTTATTCCAAGAATCACATCAGATACTGCAAATACTCGATCAATGCCTTTTTAATTTACACAGAAAACTATTTGCATTAGATACAAAAAAGTCTCAAGGTAAATGTCTCGGGAATGTGGAATTATACTTGAATTAAATGTATTTTCTTACAATTAATCATACGTATTTCTGTTAAGATGCAAAACTAAAGAGAAGATTTTCGTTTCAATACGAAGAGAGAATATTTCGTACGCTAAAGATGTTGCTTAAAAACAGATTAATAATCAAAATTTATTATTTTTAGGTAGTAAATAATTTTTTAGTTATTTACATATACAACAGCGTTTTTTGAGTAATTTTATAAATTGATTATTCACTAATTAATAATAAAAATAAAGACGAATTGTTATAATTATTATACAATTTGGTTAAAAAATTCAATGTACATACATGTAGTATTAGCAAAAATTATGTTACATTATGTTAGAATAACTAAAAAAATTATTTTAAACTATTTATACATAATCACTTATACATTTCTAACAAAGTCTTTTTTAATATAGTTGTTTAGACTACGTATTGTAATAATATATTTATACACGGTTCTGATGTAATTTTTTACTTTAAAATTATATGTCACATTTACATAAAAATATACTTGAATGTTATTAAAAAAAAAAATTTTAAGTTATTCTACATGACAAGTGTTGAAAAAGTATAAATGGCAGTCATAGTCAGTGTGTGTGTATATTTTACACTGGCAGTAAGTTGCACGCGCATGCCCTCTTCTTATATGTGTTGGCAGTGTGTGGCCAAGTTTGTGTTGTCTGTCATGCGTATGTGAGTGATTGTATGTGTGTCCTCTTGCGTTGACTACTAGACACATGCGCTGCAGTTCAGTTGACCCTAGACAGCAATCGAATAAAGGCATCTTGGTCAGCCATTGCTCTCTTTGTACCACGTGTAAGCTCTTTGTTCACTTGCTTTTATCTTAAACATCGTTGCAGTGAGCAAAGTAAAACTCATTCCTGTTAATATAACATAATTGTCTGCAGCTTGCAGAGTGAGTAATTCAATACGCTAGTTTATTCAGTAGTATAATTCAAAGGTCAATAATACCTTTCACAGTGATGCCGTGTATATGTGAGAAGAGGACTTATGCACGAGAAACTCGTAACACCCCTGCTCTGATTTTTACGTACTAATTGCACAGCTTTTGTTGTACAGTTTAGAGAGATGTGCACCAGTAACACTCGTAGTACAGAAATTTGATTAACTCAACAGATAAGCTCAGAAAAAAGGTGATTGTTTCAAGTGAAGACTTATGCACGAGAAACTCGTTACACACCTGCTCTGATTTTTTGCACTAATTGCACTACTTTTGTTGTGCAGCTTAGAGAGATGTGCATCAGTAGTAATACTGGCGAGTATTCGTGGCACAGAAACTTGGTTAACTCAACAGATAAACTCAGAAGGAAGGTGATTGTTTTAAGTAAAGTTTAGTATTACACATAGACTCAAGTGTATATAGCTGTGTGTTATTATTACTAGCAGTATCGCGTGGACTCAAACTTTTGTACATTTGACTATTTGGTAATCTCAGTTTACTTGTGTATTATGTAATCAAGTGCTACTAATATTACTATAATTATTAAACACATAATTTTTTTCCTTTGTATTTTTTTTGATCTTACAATAAATTATTATATTTTTCATTGTTATTAAAATAAGAGCGAAGTGTTAATTATATTTATTTCACACCTCTCTTGAATGTGTGCTCTGTTCACTGGTGCATTTAGGGTGCTGAGAGAGTATAAAGTCCTAGTTTTTAAAGTCTTCATGAGGAAATAGCTAATAACCTTTTTTAAAAATTTATCAAGCCAAAGGATAATGTCTCGGAGGAAGATGAATTTTATTTTGTCGTACCATGCTATTAGTACTATTATGTAGTTATTTTCACTTTCTTAAAGCTCTTATTTACAAACTTTTGTTACTTACAATCAAATTTTTTATACGACATATTTGTATTTGTATATACCGATTTCCACAAACAAAAATTTTAATTATGCACAATTTATATTTAGCGATACTTTTTTGACACTGTTACTTTTCTATTATTCAACTGTTTGTAGAACTAACCAAATGTGTTAATTATCTGTAGTACATGAGTAGGCATTGCTAATGATTTTAGAACCACAAACTGCCAAGACGTTTGCTTTCTATTATTTCCCATATTTTGCTTTAAACATGTACCTAATTAGATAAATACCTTACAAAATGAGTAAAGTTACTTAGTCACTACCAAACTTTTCCATTTATATTACTAAGTAAGAGTCCGTCAATTGTTTTTTGATACCATTATTATTGTATGCTGAACTTTGGTAAGAAGTACGCGATCATGAAATATAGATTTGTTTGTTATGACCCACATACTGCGATGTTTACTGGATCCAAGCCTTTAATCAATTGTACTTAAGTTCTTAATCCAATTTTTTTTCATCCGCTTCCGTTGCGAATCAGCTCATTTTAAATTTTGTATCTGATGAATTGAAACTGGAATTTTCCTAACAACCTGTGATTTCTTTTCCTTTTTTTTAAATCACATTTTTTGAATATTATTTCCCAAAATGATAATCGTAAGTATTCTTTGTTTTTATCTTATTTCAATTGGTATTTGCTGTTATTATGATTATAGCTATGATAAAAAAAAATCTTCGATTAAACAAGCACCTCCTTTTAGAACTATCTTTTGTGACTCTAAAGACCTTTATTTCCACATGAGACTGGCAGCCCGTGCGCAGTGCTATTGCACACTTGTGTAAGTGCGTATGTATGTCGAGATCTTTACACAGTAACAGTAGATAGCTCTAAGTCGAGTTTCTTGGACGAATCACGTCAATAAATTGTATACGCCACATGAGCAAAAAGTTATGGCTAATGCTTGTGCGAACTAACGTACAGGTGTGATCGCTAACACCTGAGACTAGTACCGTAAAATTACATTTTGACATTTTAGACAGTTTTTTATGGAATGAAGGTTTGAAGTTACCAATTACCTCCACGTACGCCTTTTTTTGCAATTCTATATTTTATCTAAAGTCACTAAATTTTAATCTTATGGGTAGTTCTAAATCTATTTTGTAACATATTTTTATTTTATGACATTATATGATCGTGGTTTTCTTGTCAAATAAAGCTTATCTAATTAAAATGCCTGTTTTATCAGAATGTATCCTCTTATTTTATTTTCTACGATAAATCAGGATGTTCCTAAAATAAAGCATTACTTCTTTCAATTACATTAAGTTATGTTTTGCTAACATACAAAAGCAATCTTTGATAAATTGCTGTTTAAAGTAAGACATTAATTCATTTTCCATGACTTTTTTACAGGTGAATGTAGACAATCGTGTCCACTTGGCTACAATGCAGATAATAAACGACGAGAATGTGTGTCTTGTCCTAGTGGTTGCGAAAACTGCACACCATTAACTTGCACAGTTTGTCAATCAGGTTGGAGTCTCAATGATAGGGGCATTTGTACTGTTAGCTCCAGTAATCAATGTAAAAAGTTTTATTTTAACGATAACAACATTTGCAAGCAATGCCATTTAACATGTGAAAGCTGTTTTAGCTCTTCTGATGATTCATGCATTACATGTCGAAGTCCATTACTTTTGCAGAGTAATCGTTGCGTTAACCAATGTGATGTTGGATATTATTCAGATGTCAGAAATTCAAGACCAATTTGTGTACCCTGCTTACATACTTGTAAGACTTGCGTTTCTAGATTAAACTGTACTTCATGTCAAGATGAGCTACAACTTCAAAGCGGTGAATGTAGATCTGCTTGTGCCTACGGGTTCGTATCCATACTGAATGCTTAATACTTTATTTTTACACCCAGTTAAATAACTAAAAAACATATTTTTAGTACATAGCTTTGTACATATTTTACGTGATCCTTTTCATTAAAATACTATTTATATACTTTCGTCAGTCTATTACGTTCAAGCAAGCAAAAAAAAATAAAAAAACGTTAAAAATAGTCTGTTCTGTCATCCTTTCTTCATTATTTAACACTAAGTTCAAATCAATTTAATTGATTACTTTGAACGCTATTCTTATTAACAAGCAGTAACATGTAAACTGAGAACAAAAAGTTACTCCATTACACTTAGAATTTAAAAAAGTGAACAGTCAGAGGCACGTTGATCTCTGTGGTGTATCGAAACAGCGCATATTTTCTGTGTGAGTATTAATCTAAGTGTATCGGCTAACTAAATTCATGAGAAATGAATTAAAAATAGATTGTTACATTTTTATTGGGCTCAAATATAGTATAAAAGTATGTTAGGTAAACTTTCTTGGCTCAGAAGGTTCACACGTATATGGAACCACAAGGACGCACCATACACACAATAAGTCAATGCGTGCGTGAGAATATCACATTAGCAGAAAATTGCTTGCTACTATATACATAACTACTGTTACGTAGACTATCAAGTTCTTGGATTAGGTCCATTCAAATGTCTCGCACACAAAATTAAGAAACATAACTTACTGATTCTTGTCTTTCTTATCTAAACTTCTTTCCTCCAAGGGGTTTTGCTGCATGTAGGTGGATTGGAAAAACGAATCACTCTTAACAGAAGATAAAAGGGTTTATTCTCTGTACGTTACATCTCCTGAATACATGCAGCGACTATCTACGGTATTTATTGCACGTATAAAAATACAGGTACTCTTACTACACTCAGTACACAACCTGTCAACTCTTTTGATCTCTTTCTCTCATTAATTTTACTTGCCACCTATACTTAAACTGTAAACTTACTTACTGAACTATAAGGATGACACTGGCTTGCTGTGTACCAGTTTAGATTTTGAACGGGATCCCAAAAAAGACTGCCGTGTGTACAATTTAACTCATAAAAACTAAGGTTTAGCAAATTGGGCAGAAAAAGGTTGCGTTCAAAGGAGAAAATTAGATATTATGGCTCAAAAAGTAGGAATTAAAAAAAAGAAGCAGTAGAGAAATCTATATTAGACTCTGAAGCTAATTAAATCATAAAAAAAGTGATAAGAATAGTTCTTATAAGGTAGAAAGTGGTAAAAAGGTGGTGCTGGTGGTTGTTACAGATATAAGATATGTGGTATGTAGATAAGTATGCTATCTGTTGTCTGAACGAGTTGTATTGCAAACTCATTAGCAAACCTTTTTGTATTGAAGCCAGTATTCAGATATATTGCTGAACTAGAATTTCTGTATATGCGTGGATCGATTTCTAAGAAAAAATTAGAAGTAGTAAATATGTCAATTAAACAAAAAAAGTAGTGTTTATGCATTCAAGTTTATACGTAAACGGGATAGAAAGCTAATACTAAAAAACAAATGCATGCTGTGAGGGTCTAAGATTTTTGACAAAATGATTGAAGTTCTTATAATAAAAAAAAAGTAAAAAACTATAAACAGTTAGTTCACAATGGAAACAAAGAACATTTTGCAATTAAACGTACTGTTAGTCAGTAAGTATCATAAATTAAAAATTTAATGGAAAGCACGCTTTATTATAATTTCTACAAGGTCAAGATGAAAGTGAAGTTTGTCAGAGGTGATGGCAGAGATTTATTGGTTAGTAAAAAATAGCAATATGAGTAAACAGTGGTGAAAGACATTAAAGAAAAAGGAGATAATCAGGACACTCCCTTAGATAAGCAAAAAAATTTTTACTTAAAAAATACATTATGTTCATTAAAAATTTTGGAGTAGTTTTGTACAAATATTACTTATAGGTTACAAAGAAGATGCAAATGTAAAGTCAGTGTATAAGAGTGGCATTTCAAAAACGTTCATCACAGTTAGTATAGGAAAAACTGGAGAGTTATGCAGGGGGAGTGAACATGCGGCAGCACTGGCCACTGTTTTGCATGAACGAGTATACTGGTATACATGCAGCTAAGCCTGTTTCTTTTATTTTAATTAAAAAAATAACGTGTCGATCTCTCTTTAAAGTCAACATTGTATAGTATTAGTCTTCTGTTATTGTGTCATACAGAAAAATTCAACAAATTCCGCATACCACTTTCTTATGAATTCGATTTTTATGTGACTCCTTCATAAGGCTAGTTGTTAAATTAAACTTTTTTTAATGTTTAATATCTAAAAGTAGAAAACGGTGTCCTGAAACGTTTTTAATTTTCATATGCGACTTTTTAACATCATTAAAAAGATTCTTTAAAATTTCAGGAAGATAATACAGAAAATGGTATATGTGATGAACGTCCAGACCTGGAGATATCAGTATTATAGAAACTAAAGATCTTTTAAATACAAGAAAAGTTAAGATTATTGGATGTTCTCACGGTGTGAAATGAGATTAAATAACTTTGTAAATGCTTCAATAGAAAACTAGAGAGGAAGAATAATCAATCATGCAGTGAATAATATTCATGGTCGTCAATAGTGAAGAAATTTAACGTAAAGGTTAAATCGTACTAAATGGCTAGGGCAATGGCACCCAAAAAGTGGATTATATGTTATTAAAAAGAAGAGGAAGCCCAGTAACATACTATCTCTAAATTGATGTTTTATACTATAGTAGACTAGAAATTTTTCAATTAAATAAAAAGTAAAACCAAACAACACGCTTTCTTTTACTTTGTTAGATCGCATTTCAAGTAATCAGAAAATTCAGAGCTTCAAAGTCATAAAAAAGAAAAAGATAATGAATAGAAGACTTTTTTATCGTCAAATAATAATTCTATATCTTGGAACTGCAAATTATAAATGACAGACAAATCATGCAAAAATATTAATTTGGAAACAAAAAATCACTTGAAGTGAACAAGAGTGACATAGTTAGCAAAGTAGTCACATCAAATAAAATTCAATATAGGCATTAAAAATTTTTTAAGAAATGTAGGACCAGTGTTATCATTTTAAAAAAAAGTAAAACTTGACAATGGTTTTTAAAGATAGAAAAGACATTAATTAACAACATTTTTAAGATGCAACAAACAAAATAATAATGTTATATACATAGCAACATTACTGTGAGAAAGTAGATGGAATTTTTAGGGCTCTTATCAATGGTTGTAAAGAATAAAGGTAGGAGCAAAGGAATAACTTGAGATGTATTGGTAAACAACCAAAAAAAAACTGTGAAAATTCTTGTATTATTGATGAAAAAAAGTCTGAAAAAGCTAAATAATTTTTTAAGTCTAGAGGATAACTAACTGGTATTATACTTTTAATTCAGAAAGATAATTTTAATAATTTTGGGAAACCATACAAATACCTATACGTGAATGAAACATAAAACATAACAATTCTTTTTTCTCTATAGTAAATTTTATCAATTCATTATCAGTCCTTACGCTGGGTTTGACGTGGGGACCTAGTTAAGAAACAATGTAACGCTATGAAAAAGCAATATTAAAAATCGTAAGAGAATGAGAAAACAAAGGAGACCGATAATTAGTCCCTCCTTTGCATTGCCTCTGCTCCCCCTCTCTGTGCACTGGCTTGAGCTCTCTCTTTCTCTCCCTCTCTTTTACACACTTTACAACTGCATGAGATTATTTTACATAGGATCTTTCTCGTTTTTTCTTTGGCTCACTGTACAAGTACTCTATAGCGGCTGTCTCACCACCCCGCACTACTCCTCACAAGATTTTTCTACTGTTTCAATGCACTTTCATTGTCGGCGTAAAATGGATAACTTTTTTGAATGTAGTGTATACAATATAGTTTAAAAAAAATACAACATACGCCACGTATGACAGCATACGAACGTTAAAATTATACGTTGGCTTACATGTGACCGAAAATTTGAAAAAGCAATACATCCATGGCATCATTTACACGTACACAACCCGGAGCACAATGAATTTTAAATAAATACAAAATAAAATTTGAAAACATTGTAGAAGAAATTTTCAAGAAAAGATGTATTAAAAAGGCATTACAATAGAGTTCATGAAAGAGAAAATGAAGAATATCAATAGCATGTTAATAATTATCAACCATTGTAGTAATGTTTCATATTATCTTACTGTCTTCAGAACACAGATTAAACGATTTTGAACGGAAGATTAAGTGTCAATGTGTATTTAGTTATATATTAAAATATTTATGTAAATAAAAAGAAAATGAATAAAAAATGAGACTATTAAATAAAATTCTTTATTGTAAAAATATCTTAAGTATACAAGGCGCTATTTTTTATTGCATCGCTTTAAAGGAGCGAGGAACTTTTTGGTTGACACGAAGGATCTAAACAGGTTACAGGTAAAGAAAAAGTCGATGCGAAATGTGCTTGAATATAATTTATCAACTTTAATTTATTCAGGTAACAATTATTAATTGAAAGTACAAACCAATTACAACTTTACAAACTTGTCAATTGGTACGCTCAGTTGTCAGCGACATAAATGTTATTAAGTCGCAATTTTATCGGTATTATTTACGTGTAATTTTGATATACTCTGGAATCCTCTTGTACATTTAATTTGAACAGCTACGCAAGTTTTACGCTACGAGCGACACTGCTAATCTCAAAATAATAATATGATCTAGCATCCCCGAATCACCTTGAGTACATTAACCAACATCGTCTTTCAGATTCGAATGCTTACACAGCGAGCCAACAATCGAAGCGCTTCTATGCCTATGTTTGTTGAACGATGGATTGGAGCAAGGTTGGCTACTTCAGGTATGAGAATCGATGTACTTCAAGAGTTTATCCTTTATTCAACATTATAAAAACAAAAATAAAAAAGACTTTGTCGCAATCTTGTTGCCGATAATGCATATCTTATTTTCATTCAAACATTTTTTATGTAAACAATAATCATTTTTATATACGCGAATACAGAGCCGAAA